ATCTGATATAGGCATTTCCTGCCTCCTAGGCCTGTCTCGCCTACCACCACGTCCTCATCCTGACATCCTAATAAAGGTAATGAAGAACATTAGCACATTCATAAATGTGCCGAAGCTAAAACACTCGCGTCCTAATGTATGGACAACTGTAATTCACTCCACGTAAGCACATAATCACATAAGCACTTACGAATTTCATTTCCGGATAATGATAGTCTCGAAGCGTTACTAGAGTTCTGGTTAGAAATAGCATTGATCAAGTGCTTTTCCAACAAGACTCACAGAAACCCAAAGATCCAATCAACAACCTAGAAACTAAATCCCATACCCATATAGTCACATAATCATGTTATCACATAAGCATATAACACTACATCTAAGTCTCTATCAAGCGAGACGAACCCATTGTGGTACTAACCACTTCCCACGTACCCAAAGTATTCGAACCCGGTACACTCTGATACCAAGTTGTAACGCCCTCAAAAATAAACCCATCATAGCATACATTCATGATAAGTAAAAGAGTTCTCATATTATAACCATCAGAGTATTCTTATAAAATGTATTACATGTTGACAACAAAAGTAAATGCCCTATAGGCTTACAACTTTCCAAGTCAACACTTAGTTACAAAAGGAGAGTACTAACTCTACACAAAAGAAGCCCTTGGCTTGATATACATGTAATATAAAAATGTAATCACAAAAGATGTCCTAGCCACTAAGCTTCTCAAGCTACGTCCTTGGAGGTGGCATGCTACCTGTACCTGAAAATGATGTCCCATATAGGCTGTGCCAACGCCCAGTAGAGATATGCTAAACATAATATGAGCAATAACTAAAACATTAGCACTTGATAAATGTTCAACTTAACAAAACTCAACTTATAAACATGGCTTAGAACCTGGCCAAATAACTGAAATGAGGCTACATCTCATGCCAACAATACTACAACTTGCCATTTTACGAAAATTACGTTCGCGGGATTTGGCACCCATGTGTTTTCAATCTCTTACGGCCATTTTACGAATATGTTATCCGCAGGACTCGGCACCCATGTATATATATATTCAGATTGCCATTTTACGGAAATTGCGTCCGCGGGATTCGACACCCATGTATTATTACATTCAAATGGCCATTTTACGGAAATTTCATCCGCGGGATTTGGCACCCATGTATTCAAATACACAACTTGATTAGTTTCAATTCACCTAATCATCATGCAATGTCTACAACATTCAAGACTATTCTCCACCGATAGCCCAAAGCAATTATTTCTAAGTAGATAATAAATGCCTCAACAGATATAATTAACATTTTCAAAAGTGAGCGATTTATAAATCCAACTCCACCATTCTATCTCTTAATGATCAAATTTCATTATCCCTAACTCAATTTCATAAAAAATGTCATTAATTACACTAATGACCCAAATATACCCAAATATGGCATTTTTCCCTTTAAACTTCAATATTGACGCAAAGGTCCAAATATCACCAACAATATCAATAATCTCTTTTTAAGACCCCAAACATATATATATGAGTCAAAAAGACAAAACCCCTCTTTTTCAATATAATACAATTCAAACCCAAGCTTCCCAAACGAAACCATTTATACAAAAGCTCTGCATTTAGGTTAAAGATCATAAAGATGAGTAGGAATCCCTACCTCAAGAGATGAAGCCCAAAAGAAATGATGAAGAACTCGAAAATGCTCCAAATCCCAAGATTCTAGGATCAAAATGTAGCCCTCAACAATCAACACACTTTTTACAAAGGCCCATGGGTAGAAAATCAGTCCTACTAGATCAAATCCTAAGAGAGAAGGAAGAAAGTAGTGAGAGAAGCTCTCAAAAATGGCTTTTCAAAAAAGTAAGACAGAGAGTGGAAGTTGAAAAGTGATCTAAAAAGACCTAGCTGATATCTGATATACGTATGACCCGCTCGAGCGGATAATAGGACGCTCGAGCGTCAGAGACAAAAACTGGACCCGCTTGAGTGTAAAGATTCCCGCTCGAGCGCCAAGACACAACTGGAAAACACACCCGCTCGAGCGCAAGGGGAAGGCCGCTCGAGCATAGATTCCCCCCTTCCAGAACTTTTACAGACAATGAACTACCCGCTCGAGCGTAAGGAAATCCGCTCGAGCGTGAAAAACACACCCTGCAGAAGTTTTGCAGAGGCACGAAATGCTGAGAGTGTGAAAACCCCGATCACAATAAGCCCCGCTCGAGCGGACAATCAAAAATCAAACTCCGCTCGAGCGCAAAGGGACCCGCTCGAGCGTACTACCAAAAATCTGGGCAACAAGGAATGTGACTAAAGCTCAACCAACCTGCTTGAAACACGCCCAATACATCCTAAAACTCAAACACACGGAATTAAAGGATAACAACAAGATATACAACCACCAACTCCACGGAACCTAAGTCTGGAATACAACAATCAAAGGAAGAGAAACCGGGATCGCTATAAATAGTCCAATAAAATTATTAATTTGATGTTTGGTTAAAAATTGAAGTATGGACTAATAATCCATCCGGATATATTACCCCACATATGATGGACTATTCAATCTCACAGAGGGAGTAGGATATAAATTGGAGAATTAAGCCAAAGTCTGGACTAACCCATCAAATGACCAAATTAACCAGGACTATATATATATATATTAATTAACCCTCATTTAAATATCTTAAAAATATTTGAAATATTTTTTAAAAAATTCCATATTTTTTTTTAATTTGTAAATATTTTAAAAAATTAAGAAATTTTTTAAATATTTAAAAGAAAAACCAAAACAATTTCAAAATGCAACTAAGAACATGATATTGACATATTCTTGGCTAGAGATGATCTAAGAACGATAATATTACTATTTTTAACAATTATGAATGGCAGTAATCATTAATTACCACCCTAGATTTTTAATTCAACATGTCTACAATTGGTATTTTGTATGCATCTTCTCATAAATATATTTGCTTCATTTTCTGTATTTTTTGATATCATTATTTTTCTAAATAGCTATTTTTCATAGTTGAATGATTTTTTATATTTTTTGTTCCCCCCCAAAAAAAAAAGAAGTTAAATTTTTGTTTAAATGAATGTCTTTTTGAATTTTAGGCAATGAATGCTTGGATGATTAAAACAGTAGTGCATATTTTTTAATGGTTGCTTGTGTATATAAATTTTATAGTGAAATGATTTTTGATGTTTTCTGTTTAAAAAAATGGGATTAAATGAAGACTTTTTTGAATTTGAGCAATGAATGATTAAAATAGCAGTTTATATTTTTTAATGATTGCTTGTGTATATATAAATTTTATAGTTGAACGATTTTTTATTTTTTCTGTTAAAAAAAAGTGAGGGTTAAATTTTGTTCCAACAAATACTTTTTTGAATTTAGGCAATGAATGGTTAGATGATTAAAATAGCAGTGTATTTTTTTTAATGGTAGCTTATATATATATATAAAGTTTATAGTTGAATGATTTTTTATTTTTTCTATTAAAAAAAGTAGGTTAAATTTTGTTCAAATGAATCGAAATGAATGTAGAACAACAATAGGGAAATCTGCTTTTTAAAAATTATAACAGATGCTAGTGCAAAATTTTACAATAATTGTACTAGGGGTATTATGGTCAATATATTGGATGTCCCATGTCCTGTCATGTCCTATCCATACCAATCCCCTCAAACAAATATCGGATTGGATAATATTTTGTTAATCCCTCCTTATAATCCTAACTCAATCCAAACATAAGATATGGTACACAATTCAAAGGAATTTGTAATCCTAAAACTATTAGTTATGAAAATACTAATTCAACTTAATCTAATCTGCCCAAACAAACATGGCCTTAATTTTAGCTACAATAGAACCTACAGCCATGTTACTAAAGAAGAGTTAGCAGAAATTTTCACAGAAGTGACAATTAGAGATTCCTGACATGTGCATGCCCACAAGACGACAAAAAAAATAAGTAAAAAAGAGAATCCTGTCATGTGCCAGCTGCATAAGAGGAAAAAATATATATATATATATATATTCAATCAACGAGCATGTGATATGCTCTAGCGCATGAGCTGACCTCACATAAGGGGCAAAAAGGTAAATTCACACCATTACATTATTTTACGTGCTACATGTTAAATGCGATCTCAAATTTAAAAAAAAAATGCGTATGAAAAATACGTAATATAAAATAATGTAATGCTGTGAATTTACCTTTTTGCCCCTTATGTGAGGTCACCTCATGCGCCAGAGCATATCACATGCTCATTGATTGAGTTTTTTTTCCTTTTGTTTTTCCTCTTATGCAGCTGGTGCATGACCGAATTTTCTTTTTTACTTATTTTTTTGTCGTGTTATGGGGCATGCACATGTCAGGAATGGAAAATGAGTAAGAGCACTAATTAGTGCCACCACTAATAATATGGCAGTGAGTCTCACCCACTGCCACAATGTTCACTACAACAAAATACACATTTGGCGACCAAAATTAGCGACTAAAAAAAATTTCGTCGCCAAAAGTTATGAAATTGGCGACCAACTAATTTTTTTAGTCGCCAAAAGTAAAATATTTAGCTACTAAATTTTTTTAGTCGGGGTATATTGATTTTTGGCGACTAAAAAAAAATTTCGTCGCTAAAAATGCTAGAATTGGCGACTAAAAAAATTTTTAGTCGCCGTACATTAAGTTTTGGCTACTAAAATCATTTTGTCGCCAAAAGAAAAATAAAAAATTAATTTTTTGCCTTTGGAGACCAAAAATTTGGTCGCCAAACATTTATTTTCAGTGACAAAAAAGAATCTTGGTCGCTATATGTTGACTTTTGGCTACTAAACCATTTAGTCGCCGATTGAAAATTAAAAAAATATTTTTTTACCTTTGGCGCCCAAAATTTTGGTCGCCAAAAAAGAATTTTATTGTTATTTGGCGACCAAAAATATATTTAGTCGCGAAAGGTTGAAATTTTTGTTTGAGAGGGAAACCAATTATTTTTGGCGCCTGATCTATTTAGACTCTGTTCTGTCTCTCACACACACAGACACACGATGTCATATACACTTCTGTGTCAAACACTAGTAAACCTCACCCTCACCATCCCTGCTAACAGTTACCATCGAACTTCCACCATCGACATCGCGGCTCTCGCTACCGCCGCTCACCATCACGGCTCTCGCTACCGCCGCTCACCATCGCGGCCTCCCTCCCAGCCACATTCAGGTTTCTCTCTCTCTCTCTCTTCCTCTATTTCCCCATTTCACCATCTTGGATCTAGGGTTTTATTAGGTAGATAGCAATTGATTTAAGATACTGAACAATTTAAGAATATTATGAGTAGGTAAGTTAATGGAAAATTTTAGGACTCAATTCGGTGATGTCCTCTTCGCTTAATAGGATTGAAATTTTCTCTGCATTCTACATATGGGTTTTGACTTTTTTATTATTTTTTGAGTTTTATATTTCAAATCCTACTCAATTTAAGCAAATGGGTTTCAATTTGATTTTTTTTTTTATTATAAAAAAATGGTCTTACTTTGATTTGGTGGAGGTAGTGATTTTTGTGATCCTAATAGCTATTTGTGCTCATGATTGAATGATTTTGAGTTTTTTATGCATAACAAAAGCTTGAGTCACTGTGAAATCTCATCCTCCTTTTTGTTTTCTGAATTTGAATTTGAGGGATTAGTTGTGTGTAAGTATTTACGTTCACAGAGATGTAATGAATTTGAATAATAAATGATGTTTCCTTAGCTGGGTAGAATCTGATAGGTGGTTTCATTTTCTTTGAGTTTTTATATCCATATTTTGTTTGTCTTTTTTTTCTTTTTCATATATGAAACCATACTCAATTCAAGCAACTGGGTCAGAATTGAATTAGATTTTGTTTTTCTCAATTAACTTGGTTTGAATTATTATTATTTTTTTTGGTGGGTTGGTAATTCTGATGCTCTCACTGATTCTGTATTCATGTGGCTTCCCTTCTTGTAAAATAAGAAAAGAGAAAGAAAGGGAAAAAAAAAATATTACTTATTATGGACCTCCTAGTTACACTGCTCTGTTTGTTCTCCAAGAATGTGACGGTCATCAAAGTAAGGCTGATTTCTACAATGATTTATATTGATGCAAGATACTTAAGTTTGATTAGGAATTTGTGAATTGTCTTCTTCATCATTGTCATTGATCTACAACTCAGGAGTTTCGGATCTTTCCTTTTTCTACGTTGAGAATCTCATCAGTCATGCTGATCAACATTGACTTGCTGTCAAAGTAATAGCTTAAGAATGGTAGAAGTAGTTCCAAAATTACATAAAAAGTAACTTGAATATACCTTCTTTAGAGTGTGAAAAGCATGTTTTTTTGAAATGAATGGATATCCATTATTCATTTTAAAGCTCAAAGATGTTGTGCTGTATTTTTTCTTTGGGCCTCTTTATGTTCTGAACAGTTAGGCTTTCCCTTCTTAGACTTTTTGGTCAATTGTAGCTTCACTAGTGACTTAAATTGCCAATATAGCCTCCTTATTTACTGAGCTTTTTTACTTTGATAATCCTGGGCAAAATTAATTTGGTCAGAAATAGACAGTTGATGGTTTGTGGCTGTTATGCTGGAAAATTGAAACCAGTTGAGCTTACATATTCCCATTATGGATCGAACACCATTTACAGGTTTCTGTCCCTCTTAATTTGATGGCATCAGTACTTTTGTTGGATTGCCCTTTTAATATGATGGTCTCTTATGCCGCTGCTGGGTTTATTTTGATCTTCAAAATGGCAAAATGGTGCCTTTAGTTATCTTATGTTCTTAACTGAATTTCACTAAGAATGTAATAATGCAGTCATAAAAAAAGTGTCCAAATTCAGGTGCATCTAGACATCCATTGGGAACTAGATATTTACATTTTTGTGCTCCCATAGTTTGGAGTGGATTTTACTTGGTCCTTATAGTTTTAATTGTAATGTATTGAACTTCATATTTTTTAATTGGTTTCAATTAGGTCCAACTGTTAATTGTTGTTAGCGATTTGGATGCAAAAATACATGTCAATATCAAATAACTTTCTTTGATCATGTGAAGCTCTCATGAATCTCACGTGGATCACATGGAACTGACGTGGAACTCAAGTGTATTTAATTCTTGTCTAAATTCTTAAGATGAAGTTGACCATTAAACTTAATATACACAACAATGTGTCATACTTGAAACTGTGAACACTAAAGTGTTTTTTTTAATAAAAATTATATGGATGCAAAATTTGATTTACCCTTTGAAATATAATGGCTCAATATGCATGAAACTTTAATTTTATTGTATGAATCCATAATACATTTGAGTTACTGATTTCATTTAATACTAAATCCCCCTTTTACATGATTCCTGGTTTCCACATATGCTTTGCCATTCTTACTACTTTGGACCTTTATTCAGTGCTTCTGGGACTGTAGAGTAAAGTTTGGAAGAAAGCAAGCTGGGCCATTTTCAAAGTGCATAAACAAAATTTGTATACTGTTTGAAGTCATTGTCCTTGCCATAAACCCTGTTTACACTAATAGTGGGGGGGAGAGAAAGAGTCTTATTTAATTTTGGGTGAATTACAGTTTGACCCTCTGACTTTCCTTGAATTCACTTTGTTTCAATTACATAAACGTGGTGGTGATTAAAATTAATGGGTAAAATTTGTCTTGTGCCATAAATATTAATCACAATAAAGCTATAGAGATAATGGCAATACCATGATACTTGGTTTCAATTACAAAATTTCTTGGGTTTGTTGGTTTGTTATGTAGTTTTCATATGTAGGCTATAACTTGGTGTGCTTTTTGGGGGTATATGAATGTCATTTGTTTTTATAGGTACTCAATCAATGCTATATTAGATGCACTGCTAATGAAGAAGTTGGCTACTGGGCAATTGTTTGTGGGACAGAAACTTAGGGTACTTCTTTGGTTTCACTATTTTCCATTTCTTCTTTTGACTAGATATCCGATTAGAACTTCCTATTGCTTACAGTTTATGTTGTCATCTGAACATCTGGGGAGCTGAATTAAGTGGCTGGGCTGGGCCTGTTTCACCTCTTGAGGTTATTACCTAGTTTAAGTTACTATATAAGTCGTTTGGCTAAAACTTCAATTGTAACTATAGGATTTGATCAAGTTTTTGCTTTAGTGTTAAGCATCTAGCACCGTTGGTCTTCTAATGCACATGAATGGGACATATAGAGCTCATTGGGCTGATCGTTTGGGGTTATGTAAGTGTTTAAGTAGTTACGTGCATTCTTGTCTTCTTGCCCTGATTATCTTGCAGCAGCACATTTCAGTTTCATCTTGCTTGAACATGTTCTAATCTTTATCTCTAGGTAAGGGTGGTGGTGCTCCATTAGCATTTTGATGTATCAAGGGTATGGGAGGTCCAGTTCCTAGCACATTAATTGGAGTCACACGGATATACCCTGTTCTCTACAGGGAAAGGTAATCTGAAGTTGATTTTGCTTTTACTTGAAGCTTGTTCAATGCTTTTAATGTGATAGAAACTGTGTTTGTTTCTCCCATCCAGGTTAAGTAATGGGGGATTTATTGTGAGATCAGAGAGAATGGAAGCTAAAATGATACAATTATACAAACAGAGGTGATTCTGTCTTACCTTAGGAAGCAAACTGCAAATGCTAAATTGTTTGCCTTCTGAATATTCATTTATGGCCTTTACTATGTTCATCATTGCCAGCTTGAATATAAATTTCAGTTTGTCTATGAATTTCAGACTAAAATGATTAGTTTATTGACAAACTAAATGATGATTTTTTTACTTCATTAGTTTGGAGAAACTGGCACTACAATGTCAATAAAATGACTTACTTTATTAGTTTGGAAAATGACAATATAAATCTGATTTTTGACTTATTGCAAAAAGGGTGTGGAGAAAATGCTAACCCTTTATTAGTTGTTATAGGTCTACCAAAATTCAATATTTTAAAAATTAAAACTGAGATCCATTTTTTGACTAACTTTGTGATTAAGTACATTAAATATATATTTCATTAACTTAAATGGAACATGATGATTTTGGATGCTTTTCATGCCCTAATTGTTTCTTCAAAAAATAAATAAATAGTCTGATTCCAATTTCCCATCAAAACACATTCATCCTAAATCATCTAATTAATGACACATTTTTATATACAGTTGAGGATCATGATGGTTTCATCTCTGTGTCTTCAGGGATTGTTGATTTTTGGTAGCTTATGGATTGTTTTGGTGACTGCATTTTGCATTCCTGTTTCCAAAAACTCGATTAGAAAGGCCATGAACATATCTGCACAGATTATCAGATTTGGTGCTGTTCTATGTATACATTTTTCATTTTTGTTCAACAACTTTCAATTCCTTGAATTTTTTTCCCCTTTTCCCTTTTTCCATTTCACGCAGAGAATATCTGCAAAGGATGCCCTTGATGCTGAATATTTTTGGACTGACCCCTTACCTTGCGATCCTAGAAGGTATGTCTCACATCTTTCTTCTTAGCTATGCTACATGAATTTTACTTATTGATTCATTGTACTGAGGAAAAGATTTGGTAATAATCATATACCTTCAACGAGACTTGGAAAATTCAGTCATAGTGTGCCAAACCTTCTGCATTTCATATGTTTACACCTCCAATTGAGGTTTCCTGAAGCCTCTCTATTAATATTTTGACTGATCTCCGCTTGTCAAATAAAGGTGTCTTAGTTTTGCTTATATTAAATTAATTTCCACCCGTTCTTTGATTGCATAGTTTGCCTGATGGTGTCTCAGTTTTGTTTATATTAAATTAATTTCCACCTGTTCTTTGATTGCATAGTTTGCCTAAATATGAATCATCACACGAGTTCCAGACAAAGAAAAAAAGGCAGCAGCAGCGACAAAATGAAGAGATGGCAAAGAGACAGAAATTGCAGCACCCACAACAACATGCTCGTCTGATTGCTTGCTTTTGCAGGCATGATAAAGAAGGGAATGCTGGATTTGTAGTTTTTGAGTTTGTGGATTATGCTTTGCATCCTTGTCCAGCTGTGTGGCTCGGGAACACAAGTTTTCTGATGAGAGCAACATCTTGAGAATGAAAGTGGTTCAGATTTGGACACTAAGGATGTCGCAACCACTGTTTTCTTAGGTAGCTATCATTTTATCTTTTGACAAATGGCTTTACAGTGTAAGCCAATCTGTAGAAGTTCACCTGGATTGGGGATAAAGGTTAATTGAGATTTGGGATGGAATTTCACCCACAACTTGATTATAAAATGTTCTGAGTTTGTCTCATTGTGTTGATTTATGGATTGACAGAAAAAAAAAAAAAACAAATTTGTGGATAATTTGTTCTATATACAAATTATATTTATTTAGATATTGTTTGGAATAAATCCCACGCAAGCTATGGAACTATCTTCCCACCCAAGCTTGTAATTTGCTAATTCTTTATTTAAATACAACTGTCATGTTAGTAGCTAAAAATTAAAAAAAATGGAAAGAAAAACTTTTGGCTACTAAATATTTAGTAGCTAAAAATAAAAATAAAATGGAGAAAAACTTTTGGCTACTAAATATTTAGTAGCTAAAAATAAAAATAAAATAGAGAAAAACTTTTGGCTACTAAATATTTAGTAGCTGAAATAAAAAAAGACTTTAGGCGACTAAGAATTTAGTAGCTAAACAAATAATAATAATAAAATAAGATGGAAAAAATACCCTTTGGCGACTAAAACTTTGGTCGCTGTGGATACTGCAAGTTTTGGCGACCAAAGTTTTAGTAGCGGAAAATAAAATTTTTGGCGACTAAAATATTATTTTTGGCGCCTAAAAGTATTAGTTGCCATTAATAGGACTTTTGGCGACTAAAAAAAATTTAGTCGCCGTAACCTTCCCCGACCGTTTTTCCGCGACAAATCTAGCGACCAAAATATTTAGTCGGGAAAAGGCTTCGGCGACTAAAAACCTTATTTTTGGCGACTAAAACTTTAGTCGCCAAAAGTGCATTTTCTTGTAGTGGTTGTTGTGTCTGTTTTTTTTTTGGATTTTTTTTTTTTTTTTTTTAAAGTTGATGCCACATGATTAGTGGTTACTTTAGAGCACTACTTTTAGTGGTCTCTATCATTGTCAGTCACGAATCTCTAATTTTCATTTCTGTGAAAATTTATGCTAATTCTTCTTTTGTAGTAAGATAATGTTTGTCAATTTGTGTAGTAGCATTACTCTTCATGTTCATGGTATGTCCAATTCTCACTTCTGTGAAAATTTCTACTAACTCAACAATTGTTATACCTTGCAATTTGTATCGAAGTTATAGATTTTGTTAATCAAATAACAGTTTTGAAGTTTTACTGGATTGTTAGGTCCTTTTTTTTTTCCACTCACTAAAATAATTGTGGATCAAACTTTATTCCTTTAGGCCATGTTTGTTTGGGTGGGTATGTGCTTGGAATTGAACTAATAGTCCAATAAAATTATTAATCTGATATTTGGTTAAAAAATTGAAGTATGGACTAACAATCCATTCAAATATGATATCCCACATATGATGAACTATTCAATCTCATATAGGGGGTGCGTGATATAAATTGGGAGACTAAGTCAAACTCTGGACTAACTTATCAAATGACCATAATATGGTCGATGTAGTGGATGTCCTATGTTCTATCTATTCCAATTCTTTTAAACAAACATCGGATTGGATGATATTTTGTTAATCCATCCTTATAATCTTAACTCAATCCAAACATAGGATAGGATATACAATCTAAAGGGATTTGTAGTCCTAGGACTATTAGTCATGGGAATATTAATCCAACCTAATCTAATCCGGCCAAACAAACATGACCTAAAATTATTATTATGGGAAATTTGACCATAAATCAATCTTACGTTCATTTTTTTGTTAAAAGGACCCAAAAAAAAAAAAAGGCAAATTATACTAACAGTCCTTATAGTTTGGGACTCGTATTATTTTGGTACCTGACTTTTCAATTGTGACACATTTGACCCTGAATTTTGAATCTTGTTCCAAATAAGGACAATTGAAGATACCATTGTTTAATTTCAAGGGCAAAATTGTCAATTTAATAAAATATAAGTGGAACAACAATAGGGAAATTTGCTTTTTAAACATTATAACACATGCTAGTGCAAAATTTTACAATAATTATACTAGGGGTATTATGGTCAATATATTGGATGTTCCATGTCCTGTCATGTCTTATCCATACCAATCCCCTCAAACAAACATCGGATTGGATAATATTTCGTTAATCCCTCGTTATAATCCTAACTCAATCCAAACATAGGATATGGTACACAATACAAAGGAATTCGTAATCCTAAGACTATTAGTCATGGAAATACTAATCCAACCTAATCTAATCTGCCCAAACAAACATGCCTTTAATTTTAGCTACAATAGAAACTGTAGCCATGTTACTAATAGGACAACTTGATAAGTCACTGTCACGCCCTCAAAATAATAACATTAAACCCATCCATATAGGGACATGCATTGATACATAAAGGTCCACATTCATCAATTCATCAAGGTATTTCATTACAATAGTATTACATGTTTACAACACAAAAGCAAATGCCCTACGGGCTTACAGCTTTCCAAGTTAACACTTGGTTATAAAAGAGAGTGCTAACTCAATTACACCTTAAGCCCTTGGCTTGAAACTATATGTAATACAATCAAGGAAAATAAGACAGCCAAAGTATATCCGCCTCTAACCTCCCAAGCTATGTCCTTAGAGGTGGCATGCTACCTGTACCTAAAAATGATGTCCCCATGTAGGGTGAGCCACAGCCCAGTAGAAATATACTAAACCAACTATGAACAATGACTAAGAGATTAGCAACTGATAGATGGTCAACACTTACACTTCCATTTACATCTTATTACAATTCCATGACGGTCAAGTCTAGGTTACAATTCACCTTCCATTTCTTATTCAACTTTGAGTTTGAAAACAAGGTTCAGTACTCTGGCCAAAACATTTGATGAGATTATAGTTCATCACTAGAACATTTTCGAAATTCAAGGTGGATACACATTTTGGTGTTGTATCAATAACACATAAACTACTACCATACTTCACAAACGATGATGATATACATTTTAGTGCTATATCAATTCAAACAAACTTTTCAATAGATAAGCATATGGGCTATATCACTACTACAACAGATAAGCATATGAGCTATATCAATACTACAACAGATAAGCATATGAGCTATATCAATACTACAACAGATAAGCATATGAGCTGTATCAACATTCCAATAGATAAGCATATGAGCTGTATCAACACTTCAACAGATAAGCATATGAGCTGTATCTTCACTACAATGGGAGAGCATATGAGCTGCATCCCTAGGTCCATTCCCCATCTTCCCTTAACCATTAACCGGTTTAGAGGTACATCCCACATCTTCCTCTAAACCGTGGAGTACATCCCCCATCTCCTCCCATACACAAGTAATGCCTAAAAACACAGAATCACATAAGCAATCAATCAATACATAAAGTTAATGTATTCTATCAACTGTCTACACATAATGCATATAAACACATTGGCCATATGCACAATCAACCAATTCATGAAGTTAATGTATTCTATCAACTGTCTACACATAATGGATATAAACACATTGGCCATATGCACAATCAACCAATACATAAAGTTAATGTATTCTATCAACCGTCATACTCTATGACACATCCAATTGATTAGTTTTAGTTTGCCTAATCATCATGCATTGTCTACAACAATCAACACTACCCTCCACCGGTAACCCAAAGCAATTATTTCTAAGCAGGAAATAAATGCACAATTGGATAATATATCAACATTTCAACATTCGCAATTCAATTCCTCGTTTTCTTTAATTAATTATATGCATTAATTAATTAAACCAATTAGGGAAAATTACCATAATTCACAAAACAACCCTAAGGTTCCATTTCCATCAATATCCCAACATTAATCTCATTTCTCTATGCCTAACATGGATATAGGTTTATATATTTAAAACCCCAACTTTTGTAAAATTACACAAAGGCCCAAACTTTCTCAAAATTACCCAACAACCCCCAACATATCAAAATGCTAAAATTCAAAGACAAAGCTCATAAAATGGAGTAGGTTATCCCTACCTCGAATGATGGGACTCAACGAAGGAAATGAAGAAACGGAAATGCTCAAAATCCTGAAATTTTCAGATTAAAAGATAGCCCTCGACGATCAACACAACTTTTGTAAAGGCCCAAGGTGAGAAAACAACTCCTACTAGATCAATCCTAAGAGAGAAGTTAGGGTTTTAGTGACAGAAACTCTCAAAATAGCTTTTTAGAAAAGTAAGAGAGAGAAAGGATGTTTAAAAGTGAACGAAAAGGTCAGATCTCGGCTTTATATAAAAGTCGCCCCGCTCGAGCGACAAAATCCCCACTCGAGCGTCACTCACAGATCCCTGCTCGAGCGTTCAATTCCCCGCTCAAGCGGCGGATGCACGCTCCCAGAACTTTTACAAACATGGTGTCCGCTCGAGCGTCAAACTTCCCGCTCGAGCGTCTACCACTGCAGACGAAATACTGGATGGGTGATTTCCCCGCTCAAGCGCCAACACCCCCGCTCGAGCAGACAAGCAACAACAGAGTCCCGCTCGAGCGTCAAAAGCGCCGCTCGAGCGAAGAGACCAAAAACTGGGCAAAGATTTTACGTTTTAAAACACAACCAACTTATTCCCAACTTGCCCAACACAACTCAAAGCTCGAACACCAAGAGAAAGGGATAGAAAGAGGATAAGACAACAGCACTCTTACGAAACCGAAACTGGATTACAGTTAAGCACGAAAGGGAAAACCGAGATCGCTATAACCTCCCCCCCCTTAAAGAATTTCGTCCCCGAAATTAAGGATACGCCAAAACACAAGGCCAATTGATCACAGAGCATTCAACAACCGAGCCCCAAGGAAAGAAATTACTTTCAAAACAAACCTCCGACTCACTCTTACCAAGGAAGAGACTAACCAGGGGAACACATTCTAAACGACAACACCTTAGGTACGCAAGCCTCAACAAACCAAACCTCCCCCGAAACAATTCACCATTAACCGACTAGTGCTTCAAGCTAAGTCACTACTCAACAACACGACCAAAGCAAATCTTTAGAGTAGATAATTAGAAAACATTTTCTTGTCCAAGAGGCATTTCTCAAAGATGTTTAAATTTTCAACGTTAACATTCCGGAATAAATCTTGCATTTTCCATACGAAAAATCAAAAGCTTTGTAAACATTTTTCACAAATACGGTGTTACCCA